TCTATATATTTCATATACAAATACTTAATATTAAACTTCACTTGGTACTAAAAAAAAGAAATTAGTTTTTATTGATAAAAATGGGATTACGATCAATGTCACTTTTCTAAAACTTCGACAAAATATATTTGATCGGTATTTAACTTGAATAAAATTTGACATCAAACACATGAGTTTGACATAAAATATTAATGACAGGATTTTTGCATCGACAAAAAAAAAATTGATCATAATTCAACAAGTAGGGTTTATTAGCTTCTATTTATGGAAAAAAAATGAAATCAAATTTTGCATTTAGGTGAAAAGGATAATTTGACTATATTGTTTCTTTACAAGGGTATTATTAGTCTAGGTAATGTTAATCCTTTGACATGGCATATGTTATTTGCTAACACATTCACCATCCTCCATGTCAAATAGATTAGAGAACAAATTAACCTTAGAAAATCAACTCCAATTAAAGCCATGGAAAATATTCCTCTATATATATCATTATATATATCATTATTATTAATAAAAATTGGAAAACAATATTTTTATTTTTTTAAAAATTGGAATGTAACATCAATGTCGTTTTTCTTAAAGAAAATGAATGCCATATTTAGATTTAACTATCATAAATTTTGTGATTGAGATAAACTAGTAGGTAAGTAACAATAAATATTTTATTCATAATTGTGATAATCATAAGAAATTACCATAAAAGCAACACATATTCCATAAAAAAAATCAAAATTTATACACTATATTCTCGAGTGAGGGCACGTGGAATGTGCTCTCCTCCATTATTTTTTCTATCCGTCTTATAGTATACTCGTCATCATCGTTCAAATGTATAGGATTCATTCATAAATTCAACGGAATTAACGACTATTAACAGTATATCAAAAGAAATAATTAAAAACTTTGAAAAAAAATTGCCAATAGTTTGATTCGGATCCGGTGCATGCACGTTCGCTAAAGGTCAAGAAGTGTGATCCATAAGCATAATATATTAATAATAAATATTCCCTTTCGATTTATCCGAAATGAAACAATGGGCACACAGCACCAAGTCCTTTTTAAAAATTATTTATTATTTTTTGTATTTGCTGCTGAATATAACAAAAATATACGAATATATTGACAAAGAAGCCGTGTCAGGATAATACCAGGATATGGGATTTAAAAAAAAAAATTCTGAGTCACCGCCACGTGCACAGTCCATGCTAGTTGTTTGACCTTGACCCTATGGTCATCCCCTTCTGTTATCTCAATTTTAATACAGAATTTAATTTCCAATATTTAATAGGGATTTCTTCTTTTTATTTTAATTCTTTTTTCTCCTTAAATAAATCAGAAAATTAGTATAAAGTTAAGTCTACATCAAGATTAGACAAACAGAAAATAAAGTTACCAGCGTTCTAATAAGAGACTGCTTGAACCCATTACAAAATAGAACAGAGTAAAATAAAAATTATTTGATATCAGAATCAGACTTAAGTTATATATTCAAACATATAATATTAGTAATAGTACTTTAGTTTAAGCCAAAAATAGTATTAAAAAAATAAAAAAATCTGCTATGGATGGGCCTCCATCTTACATTTGCCAACACATGAACATGATGCCGTCTTGCACGGACCTAATCCATGATTAATCATTTAATAAATAACCCCACTGGATAATGACTTGTTACTAAAGAAATCCCATTTCAAATAATAATAAAAAAATATTATATGAAAAATCATACGGTAATAAATACATAATAATAATGATTTTTTTTTTGTAAAGTAAAAGTCTATGGCGTTGAGGTGGAATTTGTTGACTGTGTCTGATCGACAAGGAAAATACGAAAAATGGTTTAAAGTAGTAATACTTTGTTTCATCGCACACAAGACAAGACATGATGGGAGGGCACGAGGCTACGTGGAGCCCTATCAGTCAAATTTAATGAAAAGAAAGAAATGGCAGGGGTAAAAATTAAGGTAAAGTTTGCATCAGGTTCATCAGTCAAAACCTTTGCTGTAGCTCTTTTTGGGAGTTTAGCTTCTAGAATAATTTGCTTCTTCCCATCCCTAATTACTCCTCCTTTGAATTTTCTCTCTCTCTCTCTTTTTTGTTGTTTTTTTCCCTTTTTTGAATGAGAAAGTGACATGATTAAATCTTGTTAAATAAAAAATTACTATCTTGTCAAGAAATGGTCAAGCTTTAGAACAAAGAAATCCTCAGTTGAAAAGAAAAAAAATTACTAATTATTAGCATCTGTAAAGAAAAAAAATTTGAAAAGAAAGGTTGGGTTTTACTTTTAAAGGTTTAACATTTTACAAATTTTTTAAATTATGTAAAAAAATTCAAACAAGAGTTCAAATCAAGCATTTATATTTTAATTTTAAATTAAATAATTTTTTATAATTAATAATTAATTTATTATCATTAATCATAATGTCACATATTATTTTAACGTCATGTGTTTTGGCTTGAAATATGAAAATGTTATGTAATTAATATTATTATGTCATATCAGTATGCTACGTTATCATTTATTATGATATGATAACATTTTAATATTAGCATCACATAATATAAAATAACAAATTATATTTTTATTAATTACAATTAGTCAACTATTAATTATAAATACTTATTTGATTCAAAATAAAAGTATTAAAACTTGATTAAACATAATAAAAATAATTTATTTAAAATTTTCTATTATGCCCATTTTAAATTACATCATAAATTTCATGAAAATTATCAAAGGATGCTGGATTTGATTAAGATTTGTTTGGACTGTGTTTTAGGCTCCAACCAAACCACAAAAATCCCAATTCGTGTATTACAATTTGCTACATGCCATTTTCGGCATTTTATATCAAGTTAGTTTGCCTACCATACAAAAGGAGATTATTGGGTATTTTCGACATATAATTTTCTTTCCTTTTTAAAATTTTTTATATTTATATATCAAAATTGGCAAACGAAGCATATAAAAAAAAAAAAAAGAAAAGCGATGTATTTTTTTAAAATGATACTCTATATTTCTTTGGTAATTATTTTTTCATTGTGTAATTCCTTTTAAATGTGTAAAGATATTAATACCTTCACTTCATGGATCTTAAAATCTTGGTTGGGATGTTATTATCATCAAATTATAACCTCACAATGTTCAACTTCTATTTTAATCACTTTCTTACCATAAGCAATTAATGTTTTTATTCATTTATATTTATAAGATAAAAGAAAAACAAAAAGGATGATAATAAAGGAGAATCAACCTAAGTCCTAACTCCAACTTGACCATTAAATATCCAGTTTTATAAGAAACTTAATTTGGGAAAGTTGCATGCAACATGGAGGTAAGATCTTACTTTAAATTGCATTAATTTGGTTATGTAGCCCAAAGATAAAGTTGCATTATTATTATTATTGTTGTTGTTGTTTTTTCTCTAAACTTTTTGTGGATAACTATCTGATTATCTGAGTTAAAATATGTTTAGCCTTCAACAATACAAAATGCCCAAAATGGGAATTTGTGATACTTTCAAATTTGGGGTTGATTAGGATAAATAAAATTTTTAATTATAATCCAATACAAAATTATAAGATTTAGACATAATTGCCCCATTTTTCTTCATTAGATGTGACAAAGTTTTAAATGCAAATAGGGGTGCTTATGTCAGTTCAAAATAAAGAAACTATCCCTTGTATGTCAACCTTAATTTTGACTATATAATCAAATCAAAGTGACAAATCCGAAAATGTCTCCTCTATCTAAGGTTTATATTTAATACAATGATAATATTTAAATTTTATTCAGTATTGCTTAACCAAATGTCATCATTTCGTTAATAAGAAAATTTAAAAGTTAAAATTTTTAAAAAAACTAATATTTTAAAAATATTTATTTTGAAAGATTTTTAAACTTTTACTTTTTCGTATTAAGTAGATTATATACTCTTTTATTAAGTGATATTGTGTCAAATTTATATACTAACAATACATATATATAAACCCTTTAATCTAAGGACCAAATCGAATTGATGATCACTTGAAGATTTCAATTAAAGAAAAAAACAATATGAAGTACAACTTTCAATTTGTGTTTAACAGGATAAACTAAGTTTGATAGCCAAAGAGTAAGTGGTGCAAACTTTTTAATAAAGAGTTTAAATTTTGTTTTTGTTTTTTTTAATATTTTTTAATTATTTTTAAACATGAAATAACGACTTACAAATTTATAATTGATAATTAACTTAAAGATTTATTTATCTTATTGTAGACATAAATTTTTTATTTGATCAACCATATGTATGTGATTTAATAAACTTATTATGACAACGATGAATACCAGGATTTGCATAAACAGATCATGTAAACATCAATTTTTTAAATTTATTACTATAAAATAATTTATTAACAGTTAGGATATGAGAATTTTATGTAATTTTGTTTTATGCATGAGCGCAATAACTAATTTAGATTGTTCAAAACATTTCCAAGGATTAACTATAATTATGACAAATTGAATTTTGCTTTGAGCTTAATTGATTGATAACCTTGATTAACTCCACTAAAACCAAAATTAGGTCCAAGACCCTAATATTTGGTTCTAGGAATTCAATCCGTCAAATCAGCACCGTACGATCTGATCCCCCTGAAAACAGTCAGATACACTAGCGACCCAGTTTAAGCACAGGGATTGTTCCGTCTTTCAACAAATTGGGTATTTTCGTAAGTTTCCCGACAAATGAGGGTCAATTAGATTTTGCCGATCAGATCGGCGAGGAAAACATTTGTGAAAACGGGGCCTTCGGCTAACACTGCCTGGAAAGACGGTGACTACGGCCACGTCATCATCCAATCCATTATCTCCACGTCACCGCCACAGACAAATCCCCAAAGGAGAAAACCCATCCAACGGCCCAGTCCGCCTTCTAGTACATCCAACGGTCCTGATTCCCAGTTCTAGATCCTTCCATTTCCTCCGCTTTAACAGAACAGAAGGCCAACCAAAAATACAAAACCCAAAAAAAGAAAAAGGAAATAGCAAGGGAGAGAGAGAGAGAGACTGATAGAGCAATAGAGTTAACTAGGGTTAGTTAATCAACCCAGGCAAGGAGCGAGGTAAGGCAAGAAACTGAGTTAAAGGACGTTTCTTCGAGGAAGGAGAGAGGCAGAGCTGAAAGGAAAAAAAGGAAAAGGAAGAAAGAGAAAGAGAGATAGAGAGGAGGGAGTTTACTGTGTTTAGACAACTGAGTTAACCCGGACGATCCCTTGCCTCCTTTTACATTTCCTCCCGATTCCTTCTCCTCAATCTCAACTCGTCTTATTCCGATTCTTAAATCAACTCGGAAAATTTATCTGTTATCTTTGGGTTTTTAATCGGCAAGGCGGGTAATCGAGATTTCTTTGTACCTTTCCTTCAGATCTCGAAATCTGGTAAGTTAATTATCTTAAATTTGTAGGTTTAAAACTGAGTTTTGGTTTGTCTTGTTTTTTTTGTTCCTAGGTTCAGTGTTGGGGTTTTAAGTAAAATGGGACGTTGAAGATTCAATGTCTAGAGAGTGCTCCTTATTATGTATTTGTTGAATTAATTGAAAATATTAAATTTGATTTTGGCGTTTTTTTTTTTAATTTGACAGTTCTTTTATCCTTAATTTCTTTTTAAGTAAATGATAGCAACAATTTACTCTGGAAGATTCTTGGGTCAGTTGCTATATGAATGCTTTTAAGCTAATATTCATATTAGCAGCTTACTTGTCTTTTAGTTGATTCCTGGAATATTGAAGAGTTGCATTAATTTTACTCTGTAATTCTGGGTGTGGGATTCTGTTTGTTTTGGATTCATGAATGCATTCATTTTGGTAACTGCTACTTTACATATGTAGCTTTACACTTGTTTGTTTAAGCTTAACCATTGAGGGTATACATGGGTATATATAATGATAGTTATTCTTTTATGTGCTAAATCAAAATCTGGGTCTTAAATCAAATATTGTTTTTTTTTACAGGTTTTTGGGGTTTCCTATTGTTTGTGGCTACTATAGATGGCTCCTTCAATGTAGTGTGGGGATAGATCTTCATTTTGGTTCTGCCGATTTTGTAGATTGGGTTCTGTTCTTTTTTTTTTTTCCTTCTTTTTCAGTTTTTGGGCTGGGGTTTTGGTTTAGTTTTTATTGATTGATGATTGTTGGTGAATTGGAGTATTTTCGTGTTCAATTGCGATTGGCTTTGGAGTTTGGCGTCTTCTTGGGGGGGAAGAAGCTCTCTTCCATTGTCGCCTCTGCCTCCGGCCTGGAAAGCCGTGATTGGTTTTTCTCGACTTTTCATGTCTCGTAAGTTGGACAGTCCTGTTCAAACTCAGATGGCAGTGGCAGTGTTTAAAAGTCCTCTTAGAGGGGAATATCCTAGGAACAATAGAATGGAAGGGAAACAACCTGCTGGGAGGAGACGGGTTTTTGTGCAAACAGAGACTGGTTGTGTCTTGGGCATGGAGCTGGATCGCAGTGACAATGCTCATACAGTTAAAAGGAGGTTGCAGGTTGCGCTTAATTTCCCTACAGAGCAAAGCTCACTGACTTTTGGGGATGTGGAGTTGAAAAATGACCTAAGTGCCATTCGGAATGATTCCCCACTTCTCCTAACACGGAACTATCTTCACAGAAGCTCCTCTACTCCTTGTCTTTCACCTACTGGAAGGGATCTTCAGCAGAGAGATAGAAGTGGTCCTATTGAGATACTGGGACATTCTGATAGCTTTGATGTATTAAAAGTTGTGGTGAAGGACATTGTTAAGGCAATGAAGATGGGTGTTGATCCACTTCCGGTTCATAGTGGTCTGGGGGGTGCCTACTATTTTAGGAATCCTAGAGGTGAGAGTGTTGCAATTGTGAAGCCAACAGATGAAGAACCTTTTGCACCAAACAATCCAAAAGGCTTTGTTGGGAAAGCCCTTGGACAACCAGGTTTGAAACGTTCAGTTCGAGTAGGGGAGACAGGTTTCAGAGAAGTTGTGGCTTACCTTCTGGACTATGGTCATTTTGCCAATGTGCCACCAACAGCACTGGTGAAGATTACTCACTCAGTCTTCAATGTCAACGATGGCGTCAATGGACATAAGCCTTACAAGAAGAATCTTGTTAGCAAGATTGCATCTTTCCAACAGTTTATACAGCATGATTTTGATGCTAGTGATCATGGAACCTCAAGCTTCCCTGTTTCTGCTGTACACCGCATAGGGATACTTGATATACGGATATTTAACACAGACAGGCATGCAGGAAACCTTTTAGTCCGGAAGCTGGATGGTATTGGGAGGTTTGGTCAAGTGGAACTTATTCCTATTGATCATGGCCTTTGCTTGCCAGAAACTTTGGAGGATCCATACTTTGAGTGGATTCATTGGCCTCAGGCTTCAATACCTTTCTCCGAGGATGAGCTTGAGTACATAGAAAATCTTGATCCTATTAAGGATTGCGAGGTGCTGCGAAGGGAACTCCCAATGATAAGGGAGGCTTGTCTCCGTGTTCTGGTCCTCTGCACGATTTTCCTGAAGGAAGCTGCGGCTTTTGGTCTCTGTCTTGCTGAAATTGGTGAGATGATGAGTAGGGAATTTCGGGCTGGAGAGGAGGAACCTAGTGAGCTAGAGGTTGTTTGTCTGGAGGCAAGGAGGTTGGTAGCGGAGAGGGAGCTGTCATCTCCTAAGTCTCAGATGGGAGATGCAGAGTTCCAGTTTGATATTGACTGTGAGGAACCAGAATCAGAGTTCACCCCAAAAATGGCTAATGATGATTTTATGACCAGAGGACCATTCCAATTTGGAAATGGATTTATGAATAACCGTTTTCCGCTTTCAAAGCTGGAGGAATGCTTTGAGGAAGATGAGGAAAGTGAAGGAGAAGTAGAGCAGGAGAATTTTTCCGCTTTCCAAGGTCTTGAAAGGATCCCGTCCATCTCGAAGCTGTCAGTGTCACTTAAAAATACCAGCTTAGGTGACAAGAGCCAGAAGTACTCAAAATTTTCTGGAGCAAAACAAGAAAATGGCTATCTTACAAGCTCATCGGGGCATAGAAGTGCAAATGAGCAGCTTCCTGCAAGTGTGAGCTTTGTGAAGCTGGCTGACATGAATGAGGAGGAATGGGCCAACTTCTTGGAGAAGTTCCAGGAGTTGCTTTACCCAGCATTTGAGAAACGTAAATCCGTTACCTTAGGTCAGAAGCAGAGACAGAGGCTTGGTACTTCGTGCCAGTTTTGAGATTGAGGTGCCAGTAATATTGATACCAGAGAGTTGACTGAAGACGAAATAAGACTTAGTAGGTTTGTTGGGACTTGGGATGAAGGATTAGGATAGATTCAGTATATGGGTTTTCCCCGGGAATGTTGTAGGAGGAATCGCTGTAAATATTCTTGGCTTCAGCTAAGTGGAGAGCTGAGTAGAATTGGTTGTATTTCTTCCTTAAGCTTTTAGCTTTGATTTTGTTTGTTTTTTCTTTTTCTTCTTTTCTTTCACCTCCTTATGGGCTCTGTTTGATAAATAATTTGTAGATTGGAGTCTTTAAAAAAAAAAGAAATATTTATGTAAATAGGGACATTTTGAACTCTTGTGTTCTTGAAAACTAGCCTTCCAGTTCTTTTTTCAGCATCTGCCATGGGTTCATTTGTGTTGATTACTTCATGTTAGATATTGAATAAAAAAAGGGTTTCATATGTCCCAGAGAAGATATATGCCCATGTTGCTCTCTGTAACCCACTTTCGAACCCAATGCCACCAGATACCTAAATTAATCAGATTTTTCTTTGCTGATGATAAATTCGTGACGTCTTTTCTTTGTTCCAAAACACCTGGCTGGCATCCACAGATTTATTATTTGTTCCCCGCCGTCTGATGTTGTCATCTTCAGTACCACTGCTATTGGCCACTGCCAACCTTTTTGTTTTGTTTTCTTTTGACCATTTTGTATTGGAGAGGACAAGTTTTGCTACCTCAGGGCAACCTATGAAAGTTTTCCAAGTCAATGAGCTCTGGCTTTTTCGATCATTTGATTCAGTTATACATGCATATAGCTCATGTTTAAAGAGTTAAAGTTGGAACTATTTTTTTAAAAAAATTAGGGTCATAAATTAATATCAAAAAATATAAATACAGAATTGGAACCCAAAAGCTAAAAGCTTCAGACTGGGACAAAGGAGAGATGGGTTTCAAATCAACAGTCGAGTCGAGGGGGGGAGAATAGGATTACATATGGAAATATTGTCGATGCTGACATTGAAAGCAAAGAAAGATTATTAGTAACCAACAAAGGAACATCACATGTTGGGGTCCCATTTAAAAATTGAAATGGAATGCATGATCAGGAATTGAAGATGATGATGCCCTTTCAACGCCTTTGGCGGGGTCTATCGTCTCTAGTTGCCAATTGCCATGCCCTATGCCTTTCATTCTTTTCATTGTCCACACCTGCCAACTTGGAGCTTTTCCTGTGGATCCTTGTTTTGGGAGTTTTGCTATAATTGGCACATGGTTCTTCTTTCACTTTTGGTCATGTTCCAGGGATATTGAGAGATGAAAAGTATACCTATATTTAGAGAGATAAGTAATTTTTGATCGCTACTTATAGAATTTATGCATAATTGTGTATATAATATAAACTCATATCAAATGTATTTATCGTGAATGAGTTAATCTCATTAATGCAGGAAGAAATAGGATCAACTGCTCAATTAAATATTTCCAATAAATTCTTACTAGAGAATAAATCTAACTGAAATATATAGCAGAATTACATTATACTGAGCTTTCCATGGCTGGGATTCTGCTATACTAGTGTTAGAATCAGCTTAGTAAGGTTTAAAGCTTTTTATTGAGAGAAATAAGCAGTGGAAGTACACGAAATCATCATTGCGTGTTGGAATGCATAGCAGCCAGCCAAGATGAACATTTCTTGCCATGTGTTAGCATTCTGCTCAGCAAGTTGCTTGCATATGGGTGGCTGTTGTTGGGATCCTTGTGGGTTTTATACGTCAACATCAGCCAGGTCACAATCACGTGCACAAACCGAACTTTATCTGATTGAGGATAAACATCAGGGTTTAAACAAGTTCTTGCTAGTTGCTAGCAGACTAGGCCTCTCCACCTAAGATTTTAATCATGGAAGCTGCTTATTTTGACCAGAAATTATTTATAACATGAGACTGAAGGGTTAAGTAATTAATTAATAGCTTAAAAACTGTTGTCTGACAGTTTAGACGTGGCACCCTGATCTCCTACCTGATTCTTCGTGGTCATCTATTGCTGCCATTTTTCAGAGTGAGGGTCCAGGTTGGTATTCTTTACATTGATTGTAGTTCAAGATAAAATGATAAATCACAAAGAGCAGCAGAGGTAGGCAAAAAGTGGATGCCCGGGGGAGGGGGGTTGGGGGGAGTGGGGCTTATCTTGTTTGTTCCCTGATATCCTTGAAGCAAAATGATGGTTAAATTTGGTGGGGATATCATTATTCAGGACTTTAGAGAACAGTTGAGCCTGTGGAGAAAAAGGTTTCAATGATCCTTGTTTGTGCACTCACTTTTGTGACCTTGCCAACAATGCATGTCTTTTGCCTCCATCAAGAAACAACTGAAACCATATTTCAAGGTCAGCAGGTCTGCCCACACATGGAGAGCAAAAGCTGCAACAAATTTCTGATACATCTTTTGAGTTTTCAAGTGACGATACCCTCATACGGCTTTAGCAGGAAGCTTAATTACTGCAAATAGTTCAGGCCCGTCGGGTTATAGGAAGTAGTGGACAATACATCGTTCAATTTCAAAAACTAAGAGCAGAAGCCATGGAAGGATATTTGTCATACGCGGATTAGGTGAAGTATTTCATTCATCAAGATAAGGATGAATTCAACACACTATGTTAGCACAGATGGCTCTTAAAAGACACGGTTGATAGATATCAAGTTTGGAGAAAAGTGCTGTAATCAGAGTTTTCATAAAGAGATTGGGAGATGATAGTGTCAAGAAATGGACGTTATAACAAATTAGTGTTATCATAGTATCTGTGTCTAGTTCAAGAGGGGTTCTGAGAGCAACGTTATATCAGCAACGGGACATTGTGTCTGACGAGTTCGTGGTTGCAGCAGCCTTGTTGGTGAGGTGCATGATTGAGATCAGCATGTTCCTTTTAAGTACTTAAATGGTAGTACTTCAGTTGATAATTCATTGTTGCTGTAATCTATGCAAACAGTTGGGCCGGTTTTCCATGAGGCATATTTCTATAGGAATAAGATCATTTGATTGTAAAGAGTTTCTCCATTACCAAACTTATTAATCCATGATTGACCCATTAATGTTAGCAATGTGATATATCAAATCCAACATCCAGCTTTGCGAACCGTGGCCGAATCCAAATGTTCTTGTGGCCAGCTGAATTTGGCACAGGATGACTAGCCCATATGCTGCATTCCTTGTTCATCAAGGTTGCTGATGACTTTGAGCTCGAGGTTTAAGAATTCAAATCAAAATGACATGATTCGACATCAAAGTTAACACCAATGTTTTCTTTTCCCAGCTGAGAATGAAAATAACTGATAGCTGCAGGGTGGCAGGGAAATCCATGAAGTCTACAGGCCTTCTGTAAATAGTATTGGGCCTTTCAGCTGTTTTCCTGAAGAGTGCAATTCTGAAACCAGTTGGACTATTTCTACGTGAAGGTGGGTGGTTGACTTGCGTTCTTCCCACTCTTTGACTGATGGGGACACATGTACTGATAAACATTGGTTTATTAGTGTTCAAATCAATAAAATAAAGTAAATTCAGGTGTTTGATCCTAATGATTGGCTCCCCATATGAACGTCTTCCCATCAACCTAACCTTTGTAACTACCGATGAAACAGTTGACAGCCTTCGATAGCTTGCTAATATGGACAGGAAAAGGATTAGCATGTAAACCTTCTGCCATTATTCTATTGTTGTCGTTAGGACATCAACTCCATAATCATCATCATCCAAAGTACACTCATAAATCTAATATGCTTCTCAACAACATATTTTGTTTTCATTTGGTGGGGAGAAGAAAAAACTGAATGTTGTTGCCATAAAGTAAACAGAATGAAGAATGAAGGATGGTATATTCAATCTGCAGTCTGCCAACCCAAGAAATAGATCTCAAATTCACATTAATCTACTGGATAAACAACCCAAGGCTTCTATTTCACTTCATATGCAAAAAAGTTTCATAGCCATCTTCATAGAGGCTCCTTATGACTATACACATCAAGAGCTTAGGTTTTGTTCAATACAAAAAAGGAGGGAAAAGGGAGTTTAGGAGTTAGAATAGAGATGTTAAATGTGCCTCCAAGGTCTTTCAGCAAGGCCTACACATTCACTGTATCGGAAACAATCAACCAGATGATCAATTGTCAATCCTGCTGCTTGCATGAATGAGTACACAATCACAGGGCCAACAAACCGAAATCCACGCTTCAGTAAATCCCTGCTAATGGCTTCTGCTTTCGGAGTTCTGAGGGGAACATTTCTAGGGTATTTGTATCTGTTGATGGTTGGTTTGTAATTCACGTAACCCCACATGAAGCTGCTGAAAGATCCATATTCCCTCACAATCTGTATTTGAGCAATCAAATGTATGTAAATGTAAAGAACACCCCAAAAAAGTAATCAGACATTTTAAAACTTGCCTTCAGTATGCATTTAGCATTGTCTACTATGCACCTCACTCTGCTCTCTGCCAACATGATGGCTTTGTCTGACGATATCTCATTGATCTCTTTGTCCCCCATTTTAGCAACAATCTCAGGATCAAAGCCAGAGAAGGCTTCTCTGTGTTATCAACCAAAACTGCAAGCTTCAGCGCAATGTTCATCAAACTTTGTAGATAATCCATGCACTTACAAATTGAAGACTGTACCTGTATAGTTCCTTTCGTTTCAAAATCTCTGTCCAATTGTAGTCCATCAGCATACCAGACAATGCAAGCAGCTCGAACAATTGGCTGTTTTGATTACTTATAACTTGAGGATGTCAATAAATTCGATAAGTAGTTATGTTAATGAATTCGAACAACTTACTTGTCATCATAAACAGGAACCCCCCACTGCTCATCATGAAATGATACGTATACTTTATCTGTATCAAAACTTTTCATTAGTTTCTTAGCCATCAAGTCATCAACAGCCTCTTCCCATGTTCTTTTCTTTGGTTTACTTAATTTTTTTTTGGCCGGTTCTTTATATGCATATCATAATAATTCATGGCTATTTCTTAAGATGGGATGTCTCAGGAATCAAGAGTTACCGTAACAATGACCAAGTCAAAGAATAAGTACTGTGACGATATCCACACAAATACATAGAATATATAATAATAAACATCTTGGCCTTTTGAATTTATATATAACTCTCAACTGCTAGATAATGATAGGTAATTAAGGCAAGTTTCTTGTTGATTATAGTTGCCTGACTATTGCGGTTGTTCTATCTTATCAGGTTAATGTGCATGTAGATGCACAATTTCACAGCTTAACCGGCGGAGGGAATGTCAAAGATTTATCTCTAAAGCAACCACTCAAAACACTATAGTTGTACAATGTTAAGGGTGATACTGATACCTGATTATCTCACTTGAATTTAAAATTTTATGTGTGTTTTCCAATTTGTTAGTAGAGATGTTTGCAAAGAGAAATGACAGAATTTGAAGCTGGTGTGATGTCATTTTGATATCTTTGTGAAGATGAACAACTGCTATAAGAATCAGCACAGGTATGTAGATCAGGTATATTAGTTGCTGTGGTGAAGATGGTGACAAGAAACAGCCAAAACTTTGTACCAAAAGAAGAAAGAGGCAAACAGCAAGTATCCAACCCATTAATTCTGAAATGCTGGTTGGTTTGTTGCTTAAATGGGGTTGATGAAATTTTGGTTGCATTTGGATCTTGGACCTGCTAAAAATTAATTCAGGAAGACAAAAAGATCCAAGACTTGCCATAAACCAAGTGGTTGAGATGCTTCTTCACAATGAATATTAATGACCATTATTAACAGTCAGACATTGGTATGAAATCTGACAATGATTCCATTGGAGAGAATCTTAAAATAATTGAAACCAATACAATGCTACCTTCTTTTTTGTTTACATTTATTTGTATTTTCCATTTCATAGTTGTATAACATTTCTTTCTTTTATCTCATAGTATTCAGTAGTTCCTCCTATTTTTGCAACTACCCATGTCATTGATGGAGCTGCACTAGCTAAATATCAGATAAACAGTTGATCATATGCTATTTGCTATTTCTGGATGTGTCTAATCGAATCTTGGGGCTTGGAAATTTTTCTCTACATTTGACCTCAAGGCCACCTAAATAAGCTGCAGTCTGCAGAAATTTATTGGACTTTACAGTTTAGTGTTTCCTGCAAAATGCTGAATCCAATTATTCACTGCCTGATTAAGATTCTATGGAAGCATTTAGAAGGTGTTCCTATACTAGTTTTCTGTGCTGTGCTTAAACATTTCATATATCATGTGCAAAATGAGAAGAAAGTAAAAACATTTCTAAAGCACACTTACCACTATTCTTTGTAACCCAGTTGCACCTCCTGAGTTCTCCACTGCCAGGATCCTGACTTGGTTGTTGTTGCTGCTGCTGCTGCTGCTGATGGTGATGATGCTGGACACTTTTAACAACCGGGACGACGAATTCTCTTCTTTCATGATGGGGAGCAATCAAGCTGAGTGCTAATGAAATCTTCTGCTCCAGGGGGGTGCTAGAATGATCTGTAAGAGAGGAGTCATTCGAGTTCTGTGACAAAGACAATGATAAGGATGATAGAGAAAAAGATGAAGTGCTCCTTTGAAGCCCAATTGGGTAGATTTTCTTCAAGTGTTTGGACAGCGCACTTTGTGCTGGCTTCTCTTTTTCTTTAGGGCTTCGGTTCTTCTCCAGAATATGTCTCCCGACATTAGCTTTAGACATGCTTGAGAAAATCATGGAGTTCTTGCCTTTTGTCTTTGATATGGGTAGATGTAAAGGTGAGCTTTTTGAGTTTGATAAAAGTTTAGGGTTTTGTATATATTGTGGGAGGGAACGCAAAAGCTACCATACCTAAGTTGGTGAAATGTGTATTTCATCATGAATTACCATCTTTTCTTTTTCCTCCTTATTTTGTAAGCAAAACCAATAACAGTAGGTTGAAATTTGGATATATATTCTATGTTATCTCATCAAAATGAATGATGTTTATGAATGTTATTCTATATGTTATCGAATTAGACCTCTAAGCTAAACTGATCTTTTGCTTAATCCAAATGACATGCATAATTTATATCAGATAGAAGTCAACACCTGCTTTAAATGTCTGCATATATTTCATATATGTGTCTGGTGGCTTAATCCATATCTGAAAGCTGGGGACCAATATTTAGTGATTTGGATCTATCATTATTTGTTAGATTACCAGCCTAATATGAAGATGATGACAAATGCTGTTGAAAATTTTATATATGTTTATATTATTCCTACACTAAAATACTAATCATCATTTCCAGTTGGCCAGTCTGATATGAAGGGGAATATATAATCCTTAAACATATTCATACTTCAAAATATTCATATAGCTTTGCAGTCTCTCCTTTAGAAATTTAGAAGGCAAAAGGAAAAACTACTGAAGGTGAAAACTGCATATAATAGTTAAGTTTATTGTAAAGGGTCAATTTTAGGTGCAATGGTTATGGCATGCCTCAATATATTCTAATGATTTAATAGCCTTTTAGTTGCAGTGTTTTTCTCAATGCAAGAAGAATGGGTCCAAACTCAAACTATTCTTAACTTGCACTCCTGAGTCCTCAAAGGTTTGAGGCAAACCTGTGGCCTGCATAGACAGAGATATCTCATCCATCATTCTTCACACACTCTTTCTCCTTACTCTCTACCCACAAAAATTCTGTATCCCTCAAGGTTTTAAATACACCCTTTGACAATTAGAACACATTGAGAGATTTGAACCCGATTCTTTGAGCAGAGGATGCATACATGTATTATTGAACCAAATGCTGCACTAAGTATCATGAATGCTCAATGTGTACCTAGGACAGTGGTGTGCTGTTGCTCCGTAGCATTGAATTTGGGGTACAAAGAGAAAGTTACATAAGTGGAATTCTGATCAGTTCATGGCCCCTCTCCCCCGTCGATTAGCTAATCTTCCCATTATCAATCTTTGTCTTTGCAGTCAGGCAAATTTAAAGAGCAAAGAGACCAAACCAAGAAAAGAAAAGGAGTAAAACATAAAAGAAGACAGAATGTTGTCAGCTGCTCCACCATTCATTTTTGCAAAGACTTTTTTGGAAGAATTTACAAATTTAAGCAAGATGAAAGGTGCTTGTCAGGAAATTCAAAACCCATTTATGTTTGCTTTGGTTTGCAGAATATAAAATTTTAATGAAAAATTCTATCTATGGAAAGTGAGTGTTGAGCCAAAATTAGGGTAGTTTGCCATTGCATGAGACTGCCTCTTGTCCATAAAATATAACATAGTTGATGGAACTATGGTACTGGGTTGTAAGATTTGTCTTTTCCTTTTTGTATTTGGGGTCCAAAAATCTTTTCTATTTTGGGCATCATCTCTTTTTCTGGTTTCTACTTGCTTCCCTCCAACTAACAACTACATTATCATGATGCTTGGCTTGGCCATTAAATCATTTTTTTCCCCAAATTGAATCTTTGAAATTTTAAATTACAAATTGTTAGGTCATTTTATTTTTGGTATAATTAGTATTTCAATAAATCAACAATTAAATTTAACAATTTATTTATACATGTATTTAAAATTTTAAACCAATTTTATATTAATATTCAAATCGATTGAAAATATTATGTTTTTAATAAAAATTGCTTTGTCATGATTGATGTCAAAAGAATAATTATATCTTAAAATTTTACATGTATGATTAAAAGCGCGTAAATGGTTGATCCAATTGGTTCGATGTTATAAATTTAAAAATAAGAAAAATCAAAATTGTTGAGTGAAAAATTAAACCGAAACAATATTGGGAGGAATTATCAAACCAAATGAAGATTGAACTATTTTATCCATTTGAGCAATTATATCAAAATTAAAAAATAATAATATATATATACACACATGCCCACACACATATATAAATAGAAAAAAAAAGGAATTCTTTAACAGGAATAAGAAGAAGTATTAAAAATAATATTATTAATATATTATTTGTTCAACTTTTTTTTTTATTCAGTTAAAAAATTTAGACACCGATCAAATATTAAAATTTGAAGTTACCATGCATAAATAAAATGAAATCTAATAATTAAATTAAATTAAATTATAAGATAATAAAGCTAAAATGTATGGAAGTTGTTTTTAAAAAAGAAAGGTTTGTAAAAACTAAAAAATGGGTAAAAATAAAAAGTGCTTATTTACCTGTCAGAATCTGCAGTTTTAACCAAAGTGACGCCGTTTCTAATTATAAACGAACTTCCACCGGAGAAATGAGTCAATCTTCCCCGTTTGCCTATCCATTTATAATCTAAACCCTCTCTCTCTCTCTCTCTCTCGGAGGTCTTTGAAATTGCCGGGAAACTAACTAACGGCTCTCTTAATCCGTAAAACCCTTTACTCTCAATTTCGAACCCTCTCTCCCAGCTTCACTCAAAGCAAACCCCTGCTGAATAGTTATCACCATTTCTAAAAGGTGACACCCTAAAACCCTAAACCCTGATTTTCCATGCTCAATAAATGGAAGCCCTTCAGTTTCCTGTCAAAACCTCACAGTCTCTCCGCCCTTTCTTCCCTAATGTTCTTCAGACCTTCAGTCTCCGTTGCCGATCTCGTAGAAGAGGAACCCTTTATTTTCCAGCCCCGTAAAGACCCTGTTTTTGAGATCCTTTCTGGGTTGAAAAAATTGGGTTTTAGGAGGTTTGTAGCTGGGGATTATTTTAGGGAAATGGTTTTGAGGTTGAATCAGTTACAGGTTGATAAAATTATAAATTGTCTGAGAGTTGAAAGCCCTGATTTTGCAGTGGTTTTCTTTGATTTTATGAGGAATGAGTATAGGTTCCGGCATTCAAGGTTTTCACGGTTCGTTGTGGCCCATGTTTTGGCGGGACAGAGGCGGCTCAAGGAGTTGCGGTTTTTTTTGGAGCAAATGTTAAAAGAGGAAGGTATTGTTTTTGGGGTATTGATTTTTTTTAAACTCTCTGGTGCATTTCACTGGATTTTTTTTTTCATTTTTTTGTTTTTTGGGTTTCTATTCATAGGAAAATCATTGTACATTTCCTAGCATTTTTAATTAGTGATATGTACTGTTAGTTGTTGCAAATGGAGTTTATGTTAAACTAGGCTTGCTTTACATCTGGGTGTAGTTATCGTTATCCCAGATGATTACACAAATGATTTTTAGCTACAAAGTTTTTCTTTTTTTTTTTGGCCAAAGATTTGAAATGCTGCTCATTTTTTTTGTTTATAGATTTTGTGTGATTTCTGATAGGCTCTGGTTCTGCTCCTTCGCTTTGTGAGCTCCTTTTGAATGGCTTTAGGGACTGGGACCAGAACAGTTTGGTATGGGATATGTTGGCTTTTGCTTATTCAAGATCTGAGATGGTTCATGATACTCTCTATGTTCTTGCGAAGATGAAGGACCTAAAGTTACATGCTTCAATACTGACCTATAATAGTCTTTTATACAACTTGAAGCATACTGATATGATGTGGGATGTGTATAATGAAATCAAAGTTACTGGAACTACTCAGAGCAAGCAAACTAATTCGATAATCATAGATGGCCTTTGTGGGCAATCCAAGCTACGAGATGCTGTTTCATTCCTGCAAGAAATTGAAGGAAAGATGCTTGGGCCGTCTGTTGTTTCGTTCAACACAATTATGTCAAGATATTGCAAATTAGGTTTTGCTGATGTTGCAAAATCATTTTTTTGCATGATGCTTAAGTTTGGACTAGTTCCTAATGCATACAGTTACAATATTCTTATTCATGGACTATGTATAGCTGGTTCCATGGAGGAAGCATTAGAATTCACAAATGACATGGAGAAGCATGGGTTAGAGCCTGATATTGTAACATATAATATTCTCACCAAAGGGTTCCGTCTACTTGGTCTGATGAATGGGGCTTGGAAGGTTATTCAAAGAATGTTAAATAGAGGGTTGAATCCAGATCTTGTTACATATACGATACTCATATGTGGCCATTGCCAGACTGGGAATGTTGAGGAAGGATTAAAGTTGCGGCAGGAGATGCTTTCACGTGGTTTTCAGTTGAGTGTCTTCTCATACAGTGTATTACTTAGCAGTTTGTGTAAGAGTGGACAGGTTGATGAGGCACTGGTGTTGCTTTATGAGATGGAAGCTAATGGCTTGGAACCGGATCATGTAACATATTCCATCCTTATTCATGGGCTCTGCAAGCAAGGAGAAGTGCAAAGGGCTCTTCATCTATACAAAGAAATGTGCTTAAAGAGAATTTCCCCAAATTCAATTTCAAGTGGGGCCATTCTGTTGAGCCTATGTGAGAAGGGGATGATATCGGAAGCAAGAAGGTATTTTGATTCTTTGATAATGAATAACTGGGTGCAGGATATTGTTCTGTATAATATTATGATTGATGGGTATGTAAGCCATGGTAATGTTGAGGAGGCTGTAGAGTTATATAAACTAATAACTAGAACAGGGATTACTCCTACTGTTGTCACTTTCAATTCTCTCATTCATGGGTTCTGCAAAAGAAGAAACTTTCCCGAGGCAAGAAGATTCATGGACACTATCAGGCTTCATGGCTTAGAACCAACTGCTGTGACATACACCACTCTTATGAATGCTTATTGTGAAGATGGAAATATGCACTGCATGCTAGAGTTGCTTCAAGAGATGGATGCAAAATGTATTGTTCCAACTCATGTCACTTACACTGTATTTATCAAAGCGCTATGTAAACAGCGGAAGTTGCAAGAAGCTGTCCAATTACTCCACGATATGTGTGATAAGGGTTTAAACCTGGATCAAGTAACATATAATACCATCATCCAGTGTTTCTGCAAAGCTCAAAACATTAAAAAGGCTTTTAAGTTAGTGAATGAGATGTTGCTGAATAATCTTGAGCCCACACCTGTCACATATAATATTCTCATAAATTGTCTCTGTGTATATGGTAACCTTAAGGATGCTGATAAGCTTCTGATTTCTCTTCTAGAACAAAATGTCAATTTGACGAAAGTTGCTTACACCACTATAATCAAAGCACATTGTGTGAAGGGTGATGTGCACCGTGCATTCTTGTTTTTTTGCCTAATGGTGGAAAAGGGCTTTGAAATTTCAGTGAGAGATTATAGTGCAGTTATCAATAGGTTGTGCAAAAGGTGTTTGATAACTGAGGCACAACATTTTTTCTGTATGATGTTAGCTTATGGCGTTTCTCCAGATCATAAAATTTGTGAAGTACTGCTCGATGCTTACCATCAGTGTGGTGACCTCATTTCAGTTCATAAAATGCTTGCTTGGATGATCAAATCTGGCTTACTTCCTCAGAGGTTATGAGAAAATGATGATATATAATTTTTAATGCATCCTTTATTCCATCACTGCCTAATTGATGATGCTGAGGTTCATTACTTGAAGGTATAGAACATTACATTATAAATATATGTTTCTCATGTTTTTCACTGCTTCACTGGAGGGTTAAGTTATATATTCCTAATGGAACAAGCATAATGCTTTCCCTTCCTCTGAATAGTAATAAGGAACAAATAATATTGTGGAAATGACAACAGTTAGGCTGATAAAAGCCTAGTTACATAATACTTAAAGTGTTCTTTAAGGCATGGGAAGGCTTTTACTCTTTTCCCTTTCCTTTCCCAAATTTTTTGTGTCTTAGGTCATTTATTTATAATCTTAGTACTAGAAAGAATATTGTTGTGCAATGAAAATAAGTTCTGTTCTTTAAATATCAAATAATACTAAGTGCTTGAAGTATAAAAGGATAGAATGAGGTATACCTTCTTAATTGTCTTATATATTATAAAGATTGGGATGGTGAATGTGGTTTGCATCCTTTTTATTCATGAATGCACTAAGTGCATGATTGGCCAAGGTAAACCCTATTAATTGTCTTATATTTTATTAACATTGGGATGGTGAATGTGATCTTAGTACTTAATTTTAAGATTCTTGATGTCTTATGACTTCATTTTCTCATGGTTGAGTGCTGCCTCATTTTTTTTCCGTAAAATTTTGTATTGGAACTATTTGAACTGCATTGAACTATTTTTTAGCGGCATTTATCTGTCTAGATATATAAACTTGTTTATTTTATAGGTTTATGAAATGAGGCTTGGAGAGTAATTTGCATAATAGCAAATCTACATCAGTAAAATTGAAGCTCAAGTACCCAAGAGTAATCAGCTTTTGAAGAAGATGCCAACAGTTTGATAGGCTGTGATATTGCACAGAATGTACCCTTCATCTTAATGATTTTTATAATGGTAAGTGTGCTTTTCAGCCTGTCTATACTAGATATGCGCTGCAGTTTATTTATAATCATAGTTTCAGAACAAATAGAAGCCAGTAAGATTATTAAAACAAAATTAAAAGCAAAAAAGAAAAAGGAAAAATCTAAGCCTTCCATTCTAAAACAAGAGTAGAGGTTTTTATTTAAGCATGAAATTTGTGATTTAGAGCATAGAAAAGTTATTGCCTTGTAATTTTTGTCTTGGAGTATAATTGGAAAAGGAGGAAATGGAATGAGACTGTAATAAGGTCACTTCTGCATGTCTGAATGCATGTTTTGATCCACATGAAAGTTTAGAGTGACCCTACAATATGGGATGGATTCGGCTACATATCTCTCATGTAAAGATTGGTGGTTCATTTAAGAAACTTGAATAACTAATGGCACACTTGTAGATTTGGAAGTAGAGGCTTGTGATTATTGACAAGGTTTTGTAGACCAATGTAATTAGGCTACTTCAAATTTCAATTTCCTTCAAATGTAATCCTTGTCCAAAATCTATAGAGTCTCACCCTTTTCTTTTCTAATAGCTCATAAAGATTTATTTTTCCTGTTCCATGATAACCACAACTAGCTGAGGGAAATTTTCAAATAAAAAGATGAACAGGTATGGTATTAAAATATTTAATCAGGGACTATGCAATCAACTAGGATCGCTCAAGTATATGTATGCATATGCATATGCACACATGCAGGCACATATGCATGCATGTAATCTCTTGGATAACATAATTGCATCAAGAAACTTGAACAAAGCCCCATTTCTTCTAACTTTCAGAAAAAAAAAAATGCCCCATTTCTTCTGATCCATTTCTCTAGGGAAGAGGGGATGCCATCTTTCATGGCTGTTCGATTTGGCTACAGAATTCCCTTATGTCTAATTTATGCAACAAGAAGACAAACAAGCTTCAATCTATACCCCTCTGGTGATGTATTCTTGATGGTGGTATTGCTATTTGTTCAAGCAGGTGCACCTGTGGACGACTACACCAGGGATTAGGGTGTTTGGGCAGATCTCGGAATGCTTAATTGCAGATTCTTATTGGTGAGCTAACGTGGATTTTTTATCATTAATAAAAGCTAATTGTTGACATCTTCAATTGGCAAGATTGGTTGTTATAGCCATGTTCAACTTCATAGGGCTTAATTGCATTTTAAAACACTATTTTTCATATTTCTTTTCTCAATGAAAGCTGCTATAGTGAAGCTGAGTGGGCTTAATCTCAGATGATTGCTGCTACTAGGGAGGTCCCCTCTCCATTTTTTTAATTCAAATTCCACTACTCGTTTGTCCATTCGAGCTTCTTAGCATCTGATTTAACAGCTTGTATTCATCCTTAGGCTAGTTGCTCGTATCAGACACAGTGGACACATTCATCAACATATTGGAAGATTTGGAGTCTGACCACTTTTATGCATCAACCACCATCGTTCCTGAAAAAGTAAGATTTTCCTTCTTGTGCTTAGCATGAACAATGAAATTCTTTACAATGTGCTTAGCATGAACAATGAAATTCTTTACAATGTTAATGACTGACATCTTCTCTATTGACATGTTATGTAGGGGGAGAAATTTGTGCATGATTGTCATATCAGGAAGCCATTAGCAAGTGTATGAAGTAAAGGCTCGTGTAAGATCATCTGTCACCACATGTTTGACACCTATTTTTCATCCTAAGGTGTTGTCTATTGAGAAGACATAACCTATGCCAATGCATCCATGAATCAACATAATTTTCATCCTAAGGTGTTGTCATTAGCACTCGAACATAGGATTCGCGAACATGTATTCATATTTAAAGAGTCGAATTCGAATTTTTATTGAAGCTGATAAAGAAAAGCATGATCTAGCTCCCTCTAAGTTGATCCAATTCTCTTACAAACCTATCCAAATCCTTCCTGGAGCTCCCACCATCACTTGTTGCCGCCAAAGCCTTCTGTTTCAGTTCCTTAGCCTTTGCCTTAACTCCTCCACCCTCATTCATCGACTTGGCGATGATCCGACCCAATTCATCTGAATCAGGAACCGCGTCAGCACCATCCCACACCCTAACACCCACACCCATATCATCCACCAGGAGCTTGGCGTTCATAAACTGGTCGGCCTCCATGGGCCAAGCCAGTATCATGACTCCGCCCACTATCCCTTCCAGCACCGAGTTCCACCCGCAATGGCTCAGAAACCCACCCACAGCCCTGTGATTCAGTATCGACACTTGTTGGGCCCACCCCTTTATCACCATACTCCGACCGGCCACCCGCTCCTCGAATCCATCGGGTACAACACCATACCCGTCTTCTTGCTGTTTGGTCGTGCCCGTTTTCACCACCCAGATAAAACGCGTTCCACTCTTTTCAAGCCCGTTTGCCAAGGCTTCCATTTGTTCCTTTGTCAACAGCTTTTGACTCCCAAAGCAAACATAAACAACAGACCCATCGGCGCATCCGTCAAGCCAAGTCAACACGCGGTCATTCCGGTCAGACTCCGAACCCGAATTACCCCGCCCCGATACACCCGGGCTTGTCAAACTAAGCGGACCGACAGTGAAAACACGATCATGACCTACAAGTGTCTTCAAACATCGAACATGCTCAGTTTCCAAAGCATCAACGGAATTAAAAACGCAACCCCAACTCTTTGTATTTGCAGTAAAGCCATCCTTGACGAACTCCCAATCAGGATCTGATCTCTTGTAGAGTTTAAACACGGATGGCAAATGTTCCTGCTTGAAGACCGGGGATCCATGGAGATAGCTGAACTCGACTTCACTCAAAGGCTTCAAATTTTCAACGTTGTTCCAAATATAGTCAAGGACAGAAGCCAAAAACGCACCGGATGAGAAGAAAGAAATCCTGGGGATATTCAAGTGGGTCGCCAGGTGTTGTGTCCAACCAAGGAAGAAATCAGAGAGGATGGCCATTGGAGGGTTGGGATGAGAGTTGAACCAGTGGATCAAAGGGTCGCGAAGTTTGCCTAAGGCGGCCATGATGGGTAGGTTCCCTGTGTTGCCGAGGTCTTTAACGTGTTCGACGCCTGGTGGGATGAGAGGATGAGAAGGGAAAGGGAGGACGAGGGGAGTGATGGAGGAAGGATGGGAGCAGAGGAGAGAAGAGAGTAAAGGAAGGTTTTTTGGGGTGATTAAGATGGTGATGGTTAGGCCACGGAGACCGAGTTGGTGGGTGAGGTCGAGAAGAGAGAGCATGTGGCCTTGGGCTGGGTACGGAAACACCAGGATGTGGGGGTGAGGGTGAGAGGCCTTGGGGCTCCTGTCAGTGGACTCCATTGATCCGGATACTGCAGCTGGTTCAGCTGAAAGAAGATGAAGAATTGGTGAGTTGACTGTCACAATTGACTCTGGCTAATAATTTATGGTGGAGCGTGAAGACGAGGCAACATGAAAGTGGAGTCGTGTGTGAAAGAACAATCCTTAGAAATTTGTGAGTACAATTACTTGAGTTTTAGACAAAATTCTGATTAGGAAGATCAATGATCTCATGGGTACAAGGGTTAATTCTACATTTTGTTTTGCTAAATCTCCTTAGTTCACATACAACTTTACACATATGTAATATCTCCCTACTAAAGTAACTTGCCCATAACTATTAAAACATGTTAACTTTAGATGTTTAGTTATGTTAAAGTGTTCGTACAATTCAATTATTCATGAAAATAAATGATTAATATTTATCATCTCATGCTATTTGTCAGATCATTTCAAGACACCATGGCTGTGGCACCACGACCCAAACTCGATCAGGTAGGTCAGTTCATGGGGACCTAAAACTTGTGGGAGTTGGAGAGCTCATCAGAGATCAAATGGCTCAGTTGGTTATGGCTACTTGCGAACCATTGGGACTTTCCATGGACTTTGAAAAGCTTTGAGCCCCTTAGAGATGGGTTACAAAATGACTATTTACGACATTTGACTTATTATTGACAGTGCATACGAATCATTATCATTAAATACGTTGATAATACTTCAAATATAAACTCACATGTATAATGATAATGGTTAAGTACCCATTTGACTTGATTTATTTTTAATTTATTTATTACTTAAAAGTAAAAGTTAAATCAAATAAAATTTTATAAAAAATTTTTAAAAATTTTTTTTAAAAAAGGTTTAAAAAAAAACTCCAATTAAGAATTTTTTTTGTTAAAACATGTTAGTTTATGAAGAGAGTTAATTTTTTTTTAAAAGATCTTCTTTCTCAAAAAATACTCTCTCCCTCTCCTCTCTCTTGCTTTGCAAATCATCATTTTAGGATTTTTTTGTTTTTACAAAAATTAAAAAAAAATTAAAATTCAAAATTGCATTTTGATATTTTTTTTCTATTGAGTTTTTTATTTTATTTTTTATTATTTTTTAATTTAAAAAATCTCTTTATTAATTGATATTTCTCAGTTTATTATCTGATATAACAATTATATGATGTTTATTTATTCTTAACTTTTTTATGCTGTATATAATATTCGATGATTATGATTGAAATAATTAATTAAATAAGTCAATGGTTGTTGAGATAAATTAGATAAAAATTAAAATAATATTTGTTGATTGTGGTTGTTAAGATAATATTGTTCATAGAAGTGAACTTTGTTGGTAATTAAGGACAACAATAGTTAAATGATTTTCTTGAATTATTACTACTACTTTAGACTTCTTTTCTTCTTTTTTAGGTAATCCTCCATTGTTGGGGTTAAGGGTTCTAATAGTCAAGTCATTGCTTAATTTCTTTCCACTCTCATTTTTTTTATTTGATTCAATTTTTTTCTCTTGATTTATTTATTTATTATTATTTAATAAAAAATTATTTATGAATTATGTATTACTTATAAATTATTTTTTAAACTCTTTTTTTATGATTTATTATTAATTATAAGCTTTATGTTATATAAAAATCCCTTTTATATTTTCAAAATTTTATTTTAAATAGATAAAAAATAAAGTTAATTTTTTTATTTTAAATAAAAAAATTTCGTAATTAATAAAAAATTATTTATTAAATACACTTTATGATAATTTTAACTAAAATAAGAATTTATATAAGTTGTTTTGTCTATAAAAAAGAGTTTGTAAAAAGTAAATTTATCAAATAATTTGAGCTTAATTTTAAAAATTATTATTTTTCATAAAAGTTTTATAATAACTTTTAAGTTAAAACAATACCAAGTCAAACATGCTCTAAGTATATATAAGCTTTGAAGGAGAGGAATGAGACTTATAGTGTTTGCACAAAGCAGCAAATTGAGTAGTAAATAAACTCTAGATGTAGCATTTGATAGAAGATCTCCTTTTATAATTAACAGGGATTGCATTGCCATACTCATAACTATTTGGTTCAGAATTTACTTTAGCCTAATTGGTAAAGCCAAATACATACATTGGGAAAAACTTAGAGCTAGGGGGCCATAGTTTTGGCTTCTGTTATATTAACAATTTAACTTTACAGCCACAGCTTGAGAAGCCCCGCCAACCTTCCAAAACTTAGCAGATTCAAGACAATCTAATCCAGCAGCATGGAGCAAAAGAGAGAGAAGCTGGCAAATAGGAAAAGAGAAAAGGAAAGAAGCTTAGCTATCTTTTAACATTCATAGATACAAGCAAAAGCCAGAACTGTATTTTGAACATTTCTTCATTGGCTACAGTACGGTATTTGTCTCAGTTATTCTTGGGCGGATGGTGCCTCGGCGCATGATAATCAGCATTGAAAGCCACGAAACCTGACTCATCCACCTCGTCAGAGGAATGACTGACAGTTTGTTCCCCTCCACTTCTCACATCCTTCACCTTCATTTGCCTGTCAACCACCATTTTTCTTCCTCCTAGCAAGTTTTTGTTTGTAGCAACAGTCACAACACGTTCACCATCCAGGAGCCCCTGATTAAACCAAAAAATTTCCAGATATAGCAACATCTATCATGGAAGAGTATAAATTAGAATTAGTGCAGCCACATTAATCATCACCTTTCCGGTTGAAACTGTCTCATGGTTTGAATCTGGAATACCCCCACCTGAATAAAAGAAAAACTACAATGAATTCAACAATCCTAAGCCATATATACTACATGGAATGCTCAATTGATACTACTTATACCTTGGCTGGCTTGTGCAAAGGAGATCCAACTAGCAAACAGAAGTAAAATCAAGAGGCATGTTACCCTCCCAGCTGCCATCTTTCTTCACAGGGAACGTGAGTTAGTAATTAACATATAATTAGCAGAAGAGAATGAAAACAGAAGCAAAGGCTTTATAGCTAGGGAGATCAGAAGCAGGTCAAAATATAGATTCTAGCACCTATGTAATCAAGCCTAAGTCAAAGATATTAGGACTATGATTGGTTGCAACATCGGCCTTTTCACACATATATATATATATACACACACCCACACACACACAAGAATAAAATTATACATGGAAGAACACTGAATAAAATATAATACTGCATTTGAACCCCTCGAACCACATGTGTCAACGAGATTCAACTATATGGGAATCTCAAAGCTTTTTCCCAATCACAAAAAATTATCATATGATAAAAGTGCCACTACTTGCTTCAAGGTCCAAGAAAGAAACTGGGTGTCATGAAAGGGCTTCTTGGTAACAAATTTGCATGGAAAACACCGAAGCTATGGTAACTATGCCAAAGTGAAATGAAAAGAGAGATCAAGGGAAGGAGTGGTCCATGCAAGCTGCATGGTGTTAGAGGTGGTTCGTACGATAGCGTAGAATGTAAGGTACGTGTGTTCTGCGCCTGTCTGCCGCCATGCATTCCACGAGACAAACGAAGCTTTGTTTGGTTTGCCCAGCCGCTGGTATATGGTTTCTCCAAATGACTAGGCTACTATTCCCCATAAATAACATGAAAATTTTGAACGGTTTAGACCATTTTCACTCCCATGAACTTAAAAAATTTGCAAGGTGAATTTATTTTCGAGAATAAAATTGATTTTTTTTCACACAAATATCAATTATCATGTGAGTTTACGAGTGAACTCATATATTAATAAATATAATTGATTGGTAAGATTAGATCTCTTCTCTTATACATAAAAAACATTTAAAATTCCACTTATTACACAGTAAATAAATCAAAGGGGAAGAAGATGATAGTATACAGATTCCTAATAATTAATTTAATCTGTATTGTTTTCACTGTCAAATTAAGTATCAAGAATTAAATACGTTTTTGTGTTCTAAATTCTTAGATACTATAATTTTGTTAGAACAAAGAGAGGAAGAAATTGAAAACATAGAATCAATAAAATATAAAAGATTATATATATATATATATATATATATATATATATATTAATATATATATATAGGAATTAGAATACCTACAGCGTTTATTCCAACTTCATTAGAATGATTCAGTGGGTGTTCCCAGGAGTTAAAAACGAGGGCTAAGCCACCAGCGGCAAAACATATTTTCACCACTCGAAATTTGTGCGACGGTGTATCGAACTACAGCCACAAGCATGTTCTGCCACATGGCCACCACATATCTAGTACGAAACCGTAGTTGGAGAACAAAATTTCATCAAAAAAAATGAAACCATTGAAGGGGAGAATTGCAGAGAGAAAAAAGAAATGGCGAATTACCAGGAATATATGGTATTATGGCAAGCTGTCATTGCTGGATAAATCATTTTGGCTATAATTTTCTTTGGCATTTAGAAGCATCATCATTAGCTAAAATTGTTTGAATATCTTACCTTAATTGCTTGGTGAAACCAATTCTGAGTTTCCATTTTAATCTTTCCTTTATTTGGTTGGTGAAACCAATTCCCTTTTAGAGCCAGTTTGGGGGGTTCAAGTGACAAAATTTGACCACTTCCAGATGCCTGTTGATGGGTTACCACGGCAACAGTAGGCTAGTTACCGTCTACTCTTCTGATGGCCGAGCACGTTTTCAGCCTGATTATATCGCATAGTCAGGCAGAATATGAGTAGGGCTGGCTGGCTGGCTATGGTATGTGTTGTCTAGCCTACCGCAAACCCAGTTCCAAAAAGAGTAGAAATTTATGAAGGAAAATAAACCAAGTGATCCAGACCCAGCCCATTACACTTGTTCAGTTCTTAGTCCTTCCGGCCCCTTGTTTGATTTCTTTCGACAGCGTGCTAGATGTCACGGGGCGATTCTTAAGACCTATCTCCGGCGGCTGGGGCTCAACCCTTATTCGTTATGAACCCAAGTCAGCCTCAGTGCTTCAGCACTTACTCAGCAAGCACAACTCCCACCGATGGCTTTAAGCCTGCAAGCAAGCTTGCATAAAAGAGAAAAGAAGACAAGAGAATACTAGCAAAGAGAGCTAAGCTTGTATTGAATGAATTGAATTACAATGTATTCAATGGGATGATTTACACAAGGAGCATGGGGTTATTTATAGCCAAGGTTCCCCACACCATTTCCCTCCAAAGTTTTCAATTCAAAGTATTCCCCCCCCCAAAAGATTTCCCTCCAAAACATTTGGGAGGTCTAGAAGTTCGGTTGGGAGGGAAAATTTGAATTTTCCAGCAGCCCTTTCATGGGTCTAGTGGGCTGGCACCCTCTTGGGCCTCCTGGTGGGTCTGGACTGTGGCCTGTGACACTCCCCACCTAAGCTGGCAGCGTCCTCGCTGCCGTGTGGAAGGCGTTAATCCAATCTTGGAACTGCACAAATCTTCTGCAGATCCCAACTAACTTCACTCTCGGGCAATCCCTTCCATTTCACCAGGTACTGATGTTGAGGCATGTGATGCTTCCGTCGAAGTACTCTATCGGCCAGCACTTCTTCTACCTCTTTGTCGTACGCTGCTCGAAGCCTACTGGTGCCCTGTTGCTCACCCTTCGGCTAGGGTCCTCTTTATCTGCATGGTAAGGCTTCAGCATGCTGACATGAAATACCGGATGCACCTTTGCTTGAGCGGCAAGTCCAACTTGTTGCACCTGGCCGATTCTCTTGATTACCCGATATGGGCCCTCGTACCTTCTAACAAGGCCTTGTGCAAGCCTTTGTTCCTCAAAACAAGGTGTAGCTTCACCATCACCATGTCCCTTCGCTGAAGTGAGCTTCCAGTCGGGTTTGATCTGCCCACTTCTTTGCCCTTTTTGCAGCTTTGTGGAGACACGTTCGACTAAGTCCCGCTGCTCTTCCCAGCCCCTAGCGGTTTTGTATGCCGTGGTGCGACACCTGTATAGCCAGGCAATGGCACTTGGTGTGTGGGGCTGTTGTCCCACAGATTTCGAACAGGCTTTGACCGGTGAACTCGCTGCGCTGTAGGTTATGCGAGATTATGCTATGTCAAGCCACTTTGCGCCAGTCGGACTGCGTGCCCCTCACGAAGTGCCTTAAGTAGAGCTCCAGCAATGCATTCACCGCTCGGTTTGTCATCTGTCTGTGGTGGTTGCTGGTGGAAAAGCACAATTCAGACCCCAACAGCTTAAATAATTCTGTCCAGAATTTTCCCGTGAATCGACCATCCCGATCGCTGAGATGTGTGTGGAACGCCCAGTATTGACAATGTTCTTTAAGAACAACTTGGCTGCTTCTTCCGCAGGACATTCTTTTGAGGCTGGTATAAAGGTGGCATATTTCGAAAATCTATCACCACCACCATAATGCTACCGAACCCATCTGCCTTGGGCAGCCCCATGATGAAATCCATGCTTACGCTGTCCCATGGTTTTTCTGGTATTGGCAGTGGGTTGAGTAATCCCCTTGGTCGCTGCTGCTCAACCTTGTCTTGTTGGCACACCAAGCAGGTCCGCACATAGCTTTCAATGTCATCTTCCATTCTGGGCCAGTAATAACTGGCGCTTACCATGCCATCGTCCGATGCATCCCGGATGCCCTGCCCAAGGGCTGTCGTGGCACTCTTTCAGTAGCTGTTTCCGCAAGCCCCCATGCTGCGGAACATAGAGCCTATTGCCCTTGGTGTACACTAGCCCCTTTTTTACCCAAAACCGCCTGGTCTTGCCTACCGTGGCATGCTCCAGTATGGATTGCGCGGTCGGGTCGCTTGCCATGCCATCCCGAATGTGAGGTAGCGACTCTGTGCGCACTTCACTGATGGCAGCCAATGTAACCTTTCTGCTTAAGGCGTCAGCCACGGAGTTAGCCTTGCCTGGCTCATACTCCAGCTCATAATCGAACTCTGCCAAGAAGTCTTGCCATCTGGCTTGTTTCGGGCTTAACTTCTTTTGGCTTTGAAAGTAGGATGTGGCCACATTATCAGTCCGCACTACAAATTTGGCCCCCAATAAGTAGTGCCGCCATAATCGCAAGCAATGCACCACTGCCGTCATCTCCTTTTCCTGAACCGTGTACCGTCTCTCGGTATCGTTCAGTTTTCGGCTTTCATACGCGATTGGATGCCCATCTTGCATCATCCCCGCCAATGGCAAAGTCACTTGCATCCGTATGTACTCGTACGGCAGTATATGATCCGGCAATCTCAGCACCTGTTGTTCACTCATTGCTTGTTTCAGCCGATCAAAGGCATGTTGGCTTGCGGCATTCCATTCCCCACACCGGCTTTTTCTTCAGCATGTCCGTTAGTGGTGCCGCAATGCTTGAGTATCCTTTGACAAACCGGCGGTAGTATTTAACCCAAGGAAGGACTCAGCTCCCTTACCTTGGCAAGGTGGTTCCCATTCCTGGATAGCACTTACTTTGGACGGGTCCATCCGGATTCTGCCATCCCCCACAATGTGCCCTAAGAATGGCACTTCATGCAAACCAAAGCAACATTTTTCCCTTTTCCACGAATAGCTCATGTTGTCTAAGGGCCTCAAAAACAAGCCGTAGGTGTTCAACATGGTCTTGTAATGAGTGGCTATAGACAATAATATCATCAAGGTATACAACTACGAATTTGTCAAGAAAGGGTTGTAATACCTTGTTCATCAGAGTACAGAATGTTGCTGGTGCATTGGTTAATCCAAATGGCATAACCAAGAACTCGTATGCCCCATAGCGAGTCACGCAAGCCGTCTTGGATATGTCCCCGCAGCTATCCTCACCTGGTAGTACCCGATCGTAAGTCCAACTTTGAAAACCAGCGCGCATTGCCCAGCTGATCGAACAAGTCAGCTATAAGCGAGATCGGTACTTGTTCTTGACCGTGAGCTTGTTCAAGACTCGGTAGTCGATGCATAGCCTTAAAGACCCATCATGTTCTCTTTGAAACA